ATAACCTTTGATTCCAAAACAATTTTTTTACTGGAATAGCTTGTGCATAGTTCTAGAGTAAATAATAAAACATTCAAGTTAGATACAGTTTAATTGTAAGTTGGCTTCTACTGCTAATTTGTGTGACTGCACAGTTCAACATAAAGTATACGATAATAGGAAGATACTGCCTGTTATAATCTGTGCCTTGATGCAAAACATATAGTGTTTAATTTACTTAGTAACTTATTTTTAATAACTTGTTTCTCTATGCAGAGAGTTTTCAAAATCCTGAGCTATGGAATACGTTCCGAAATCCAGCCCTTGATAACTCCTGATTGAAGTCTAAAGCCACCTTTAGCAGGTTTGTCTTTCCTTGAATACACCAAAGACCCTCTTCTGTCCATACTGAATGCATACAACTGATTTCTCCCTTCTCTCTTTTCTGTAACATTTGGAAGTTCTCTGAGAAATGATAGTATGAAGTTCTATTTTGAAAGACTTCTGTCAGTTTGGTTCTTTCCCATGTTCAGCCCTTCTTGACTAATACCCAAGAGGGAGCAGGGTCTTCACCAGTATTATGATACTGAGAGAAAACAGAGGTTGCAAGAAGACATGAACTAATTATGAAAAGTAACTACTCTGAAAGTACAGGTCACAGAATCACAGCATGGCTGAGGTTGGCAGGGCCCTCCTCTTGGTTCATCTTGTCCAACTCTTGCTCCAGCAGGGCCACTCTGAGTAGGGAGCCCAGGTCCACATCCAGATCTCTGCATACAGAATCATTGAGTAGTTTCAGTTGGAAAGGACTTTTAAAGTTTATCTAGTTCCAGACCCTCTGATATCCTCCACTAGACCAGGTTGTCCAAAGCCCCACCCAGCCTTGAACACTTCTAGGGATGGGACACTCACAGTCTCTCTGGCAACCTGTTTCAGAGCCTCACCACTCTCATTGTAAAGAATTTCTTCCTAGTATCTAGTCTTCTAGTTTTAAATCATTACTCCTTCTCCTATCACTATATTCCCTGAAAAAGAATCACCCTCCAGATTTCCTGTGGGACCCCTTTAAATACTAGAAGACTGCAGTAACATCTCTCAGGAGCCTTCTCCAGGCAGAACAGCCCCAGCTCTCTCAGCCTGTTCTCATACAAGAGGTGCTCCAGCCCTGTGATCATTTTTGCGGCCCTCCTCTGGACCCACTCTAAAAGGTTCATTCTTTTGCTAAAAGGAGGGAAGCTCCACAAACCCTCCGGGCACTGCTCAGCAAAGAAGAGGTCCTTCACACTTTACCGCTGTGCAAGCATGTGCATCACTATTCCTTATGATTTCATAGCTAAAAAGAGCTTTGGTCTCACTCAGACCACTGCTGTAGGCTTACACCATGTTTAACTACCACTTGTCTTCACAAGCCCAGGACTTAAGTACAAAACAGGAAAAGCGCAACTGATACCAGAGAACTCTCAGCTAGGAAAAAAAAAAGAACAAAGCAGTGCTTCCATGAGTTGTAAACATAAGACCAGAATGAATGAATTTTCTAGTATTTTGCCCACTGTTTCCACTACTTTTTTCACAACATTACCTGATGACTCAATAGATGTCACCATCATACTTCCTCTTTTTCAGTCCAAATATTTTTTCTTAGCTGCATTGCACTAGCATTCTCTTTGTGCCATTCTCATAATTCCTTTCCTCAAAATGTGTAATACTTAGAGTTATTCTCACCTTTCCATGACAGCAATAACATATACACAGAAAGCTAACAGACAAACTACTACCAGAAGTAGTAGCCTGCTGACACTGCGGTCTTCAAGACTGTTGAAACCACCTATCTGCTTATTCCCAAAATTTGTAGCCAAAACAGGCATGTCCAAGACTCCCTTCTTCAGCTGCTCTTAGAGCTACATCCCCAAGGTTTACACAAGAGATCACAGATACCAGCGTTTTTAACACCTTACTTGCTAATCCCACAAACAGGGTCTAAAAGGGATGATGCTGCTTCCCACTGAGGCACGTAAATCCTGCTTCTAGCTTTGAAAGAGTGCGAAAAACTCAGACTGAAAATGATTATATTTATGTGTAAAAAATCCCTTTAATTAGCATAACAATCAATTTTTCAGCTTTGGAAATTGAGTTCAAAAGGTTAAACTTAATAATACTTGGATTTCTGGATTCCAGGTGCTAAAGGTGCTCAATATTTGGCTATGGAGACTGACAGATCACCTGATGTCAGTGAATATTTAAAACACTTTCAAATGCAACTTCATACATGTTCACACCCTATATATAAGGATAAAAGCTCCTCTTTCATAGTTGGAGACATTGCAAACACTGAAGCATCACTTTTATATCCAAAGTATCACTTATTGCTATTATTTTTATTGCAATAGCATCTAAGATCCCCAGCTAGAAGCTCAAACACTGCACAGTTACAAATGGAAATGTAGGCCCTGGTCTGAGAAGAATACAGTATATTAGTCTTTCCCTCCTTCGTATACATTCCTAGCTATTCTTCCTACACATACACACTGTGCCTGTATCCCTTCAGTTAAAAATCTAGGATTATGACTTAGGATACATAAAAGAACTCAAGAACAGCTAAAAGCAGTTTAATGTGCTCAATAGAGGGGAAAAAAAAAAAAAAAAAAGCATTTCCTGAAGATTCTTTTCAAGCTGTAGTATATTTAGCTTGCTTCTTTCAATAAATTTAAGCCCATTTTCAACAAGGTGAGTTGAAAGCAGTCTGAGATGCAAGAAAATTTAGAGCACTGAGAATGTGCAGCATGTATTCATATTCACCTTTTCCTTTGTGGATATCGATCGACTTCTGACAGCCCACTGGCTGTGGAATATAGGAAAGGGCTCTCTCAAACTCAGATCATTTCTATTTGAGGCTGAAAGATGCTCCCAAGACATATACCCAGGATATAATTTAGCCTGTTTGAACCTGTGTTAAAATTGAACTTGTTTACCGAATATAGCAGTAAACAGGACTGTAGGCATATCAAGACAGTCACAGTGTAAATTCTAAAAAAGAATGGAAGGTTTCTCAGACTCAAACAAGTGCCCAGGTTGTAAGGCTGCACTGTGCTGTGAGGAATTACTTTGTCATAATTATCTTCTGCTGGCATAGCTCTATTCACAACTTGCATTAAAACAAATCAGTGTCCTAAGTACTTCTCTCACACAAATCTTTATCTAAAAATAACAAAAACATCTCCCAACTCCTGATAAGTTGAAGCGCTGTGTGGAATTCTTCTCCTGAAGACTACAAGGTATAGACTATGATCTGCTGGAAGAATATCTTGGGGAAAAAAATTACACAAGTAAAGAAGTGCATGTATGCTTGTAAGTAGGTCTATACATATTATTTTGCTTGCACGCATTCAGACCAACTCGAGCCAGTTACAAAGAAGCCCATTTAAAGGAAAATCCCTTCATGCTGACATGTGTGAGCATCTTCAGTCCCCGAGGTATTTATTTAGCCATGAGAAAATGCAAAGAGGAGGTGACGGTGGAAGTCTTAAGCCAAATGTGAAGATTACTGTAAGCAAAACGCAGATAACAGTTTGCTAGCAAACTGCAGCCGCTCACAGTGTGAATAAGGAAGTCATTTGCCAATGCCAACAGGCTTACTATCAGAAATAGCTAATGGGAATAAAAAAAAAATCTATCCAACTTAAATTACAGATGAAGCTTTAAGAATAATTGGCAATTAGCAGCATTGGAAACTAGTCGATGTCGTACTTTTCAATGTCTGAGGGTGAAAGGCACGGGAAACGCCGCGACCAAAGGCAGCCACAACAACAGGTTTATGTTTCATGTGAATGACAGAACCAGCAGCAAGCAGCGTCCTTCCTCCTCTGCTATTTGCCTTCCTTGCAGCGCCCATCAGAGCTCCAGGCCCGACCCTGCGAGAAGCGGCACCGGCGGGGAATGAGGCGCACGCTGCAAACACCAACGCGACACGGACGGAAACGCTGTCACGCATCATCAGTAAACAGAACCTGTTGAGCGCTTTTATCCATTTTAATACTAATTAATCGATGTCGTGGTACAAACAAGCGAAATCACCTATTGGTTAAAATTCACCGTGTTTCGCCTACGGACTTGCGACGCATTGTTAAACTACGTAACATCCAACGTTGTATTTGCCAAACGCAGATAGAGATATTCTAAACGGGTCATCCTGCTGCCCGCGGCCATGCAGAGCCGTCGGTGCGAAGCAAGGTGATGGATGCAAGTCGGCATCCCTAACGAGCGCCCGAAATCCACCCCAAAGAGCCACAAACAGCCATCCTACCAGACTCTCCTGCACACGAACTTCTCCCACATCAACTCCAGCTCGCTTCCGTCTCCTCGCTAGCTCCTCTTCTGCTCGGCTGAGGCAGGAGAACAGCTCCCAGCTCGACAAAGGAGAACGCTCCACCCAGGGCGGACATGCAGGCTGCAGCTGACACGCGGTTTCAGCAACATCTACCGCGGAGGGACGGAGGGACGGATGGGTGGAAGGAGGCCGTGCGCCGCTACCCCTCTTCCCGCCGAGGCCGCGCCGTGCGGCGAGACGCGCGCTGCTTCCCCCGGGCCGCTAACAAAGCGCCGCCGCCCCCGCCCCGCTCTGCTCCCCCCCGCCGGCAGCTCGCCGCCGCTCCGCAGCTCCCCGCAAAGCCCGCGCTGGATCGCCGTCTCCCCGGAGGAAGCGGGCAGCGGGCGCGGCCTCGGGGGGCGAGCCGGCCCTACCGGGCAGCGAGGAGGCGCGGCGCGGGGAGGGCGCGGCGCTGCCACGAGGCGCCGAGGGGGCTCGCAGCCCGGCGGCACCCCAACCTCTCACGCCACGCCGGGGCTCGGCACCCGGCCGGGCTTTACCTCCGACAGCGCCCGGCGGCCGTTCAGCAGCGCTCCCAGCGGCCGCCGGGGGAGGCGGCGAGCCGGGGCCCCGCCGCCGCCCGAGCGCGAGCGGCCCCGCGGGAGGAGGCGGCCGCGCCGCGCTGGCTGCGGGCGCCGTCGGGCCGGCGGTAAGACCGGCGTCCCGGGCACCGTCCCCACCGGGAAGCGTGGCCGAGACCTCTCGCGCTCTGGAGCCGCCTCTCGGGCTCGAGGAACGCGGGGACGTTGGGAATAGTTCGGCTTTGTTCTGCTTCGGGGGCGCGTGTGACCTCCTGGGGGCTTTGTGCCGCTCAAAGGAAGCTTCGGGGGAAGAACTGCTGCTTTCCGTGGCGTTCGAGCTAAAAATACCGCCGTTAGGCCGCAGGTTTAGAGGCTTAATGCCGCTGAGGACGAGTTAAAATTGGAATATGCGTAAGGCTCGGATGCGCGGAGCGGATGGTTTCCTGGCGCTGCAGTAACAGCTTGCCATCTTTCCGTAGTCTTCCCAGAGCTCCTGTGTCACCTAAAGGGCAGCTATGGACCCCGAGGCGGAGGTGAAGAAGCAGGTGAACCCTTTCTACTGCAATGTAAGTATTGTTCACTGAGGACTGTAACAAATGCCACGTAACTGTGCTAGAACAAAATTGAACCAAACCGGGTACGCACTGTTCTGAGTTCTGTTTCTTATTTTTTTTTAAATCTTGAACAAAATTGCTGCAGAACCAGTTGGTCGTTTTTTATTTTTTTATTTTTCTTCTTGGAAATCTTTGACCATGTTCTGAATCGGATACTTCTTTCCTCACCTACTTCCTCTCTCAGAAGGAAGGAAAAGTCTTGATGTTAGTACACGGTCATTGGCTGAAGGCTGGTGTGCACTGCCTGGTGAAAATCACTGTAGATCAGTGATTTTGTACAACTGGTGGGGTCTTCAGAGCAGTGCTGCATTGCAACGCTCCTATTTCTTGTGTTTACTTACTGCTAGCAATGGGCTTCCTGAAGCTGACCCCCTGTAGTATTTCCTGTTTATGTGGTGAATTCGTTTTTGAGGAGGAGATCTATAGCTGACCAATGACAGAACCCAACAGAATGGCATGAAACTGCATCAAGGGGTCAGTTTGGGCCTTAGTAAAAAGTTCTTGACCAGGGTGGTGAGCATGGAACAGGCTGCCCAGGGCAGTGGGCACAGTCCCTGGCTGCTGGAGTTCAAGGAGCATTTGGACATCACACTCAGACATAAGGCTTGAGTTTTGAGTGTTCACAGAATCAAAGAATCACAGAATGGCCAAGGTTGGAAGGGACTTCAAGGATCACGAATCTCCAATCCCCCTGCCACATGCAAGGGCCACCGACCTCCACATTTAATACTAGACCAGGATGCCCGGGCCCTCCAGGGACAGGGCATCCACAACCTAACCTGTTCCTGTGTGGATCCATGAGATGGACTCAATGATCCTTACATGTCCCTTCCAACCTGGGATATTCTGTGATTCTGTAATGACGTCCTGCTAGGAGTGCATGTAGTACACGGGGTCTGGCAGTAAATGAGAGACTAAAGTGTCTTTAGCTTCTAGCTAAAGCTTGTGATGCAGGTTCCTTGCTGTTATCTTTCCTCGTTACAAATGTATTTGCCATTTCTTAGTATCTTGAAAAAACTTGCTGAGGTTTGTTGGTTTGAATTCAAATCAGACAAGGGAGTTTCAATTCCTGTGCCAGCTCTACTCCTTGCAAATACCAGTGAAAACAATAGCTGTGTTCACTCTGGCTTCTGGCAGTGCTAGGTTGCTGGTTTGCCTCTGTTCTACTCAAGAAGTATTTCCATTTGTAACCGACATCAGCCTTCCTAAGTAGCATTTTTTAATGGTCTTGCATTTTCTGTGTGTTCTCTGTTCCATACTGTTCACTTTATGTGATCCTTATAAGCTTACAAGTTTAAGGGTTGCACTATTTTTTCAAAACTTGAACAGAAAATATTTTCAGAGGCTGCTATGAACTTCAGAATCCCAAGTAACAATAACCATGAGGTCTTGCTGCTACATGTTTTACAAATACAGAACACACTAAGACAAGCATTGTTTCTTAGTTTAAGATCGTTATTGCTATTAATGATGTTCAAGAAGGTGTAATAGGAGTTGCCTTTCCAAAATAGGTCTCTGTGTTTAAGAGGACAGGTATGTAAATAAATATATGATGCTTGGCTGGTTGGGGAAGCTCTTCTGTTGGGTCACAAGCCTCAGAAAGGTCCCCCTTTGCTTTCTAAGTTACTTCTCTGAGAGGAGTTTGGATGCAGCTAGGCCCAATCTTAGTCCCAGACTTGGTCAATCATTTATGTCCAAAGGATTTTGTATAGCCTTGACCAGAGTCAGTGTTTGCCTGTTAAAACCTCTCAGGGGTTTTCACTGGAACAGATTTGCAAAGTGATTGATAGCTTGTATAGGCAGTGTATTAAACAGATTCAGTAGTGCTGCTGATAAATACAGTAGTTGCATTCATGCTAAATATCTTAAGGCTACACATTAACTAATTAAGCTATATTAACAATTCACCTGGGTACCATCTGCAAAGTAACAGAAGTGCAATTCCTTGCTGAAAGAGATGTGCATGCCAGTGGGGAAAGGAAGAGGAGTCAGTTTCCCACCCCATTCTCTGCTTTGTTTTACCCAGCAAAAAGACAATGATTGTGGTGCACTTCACTGACACAGATCAAGTGCACTAAAGCAATTTATGAAATTCTGAGGAAGCTGTTGCATACATGAGATACAAGCAGGGTATGAAAAACATTTGACTTTGCTGAAAAGCGGAGAAACTTCCATTGGTTCCTTAATACCCCACTTTCAGTTCCCTAAAATGTGAAGGATTGTTCCTAGGTTAATTCACAGGGTTTTATGGTTGCTATGTTTTTGCCAGAGGCACTTCTCTTTTCCTTGATAACTTCTGGTCATAGCTCAGGCCCTTGACATGAGTCGCACATGGTTAGGCATAGCTAAGGTAAATGGAGGCAGTTGGAGGGAATGGTGTAACGAGGCATAGCTACAGCCTTATCCAACCTGCATGGCAGGGACAGTTCTTGTTATCATTCAGAGGACAGCTACTGGACCTACACCCTGTCCTGTTCTCTAGTCCTGCACAACTTCTCCCCTTCTTCAGCGGGCTCTGTTTGGGCCATATTCCACAGTCAGACCCATCATTCTGCTCAAGAAAACAGAGCATCTCATCTCAACAAATTGTTGACAAAGGGACTAGATTTATGCTAGGAGTTGGGACTGGGTCACATATCCTATGCTAAAGAGCATCTAATTAATCTTACTGTGTTGTTAATTAAAGAAATGGAGGACTGATTGATATAGACGTGTGGTTGCTCTTCTGGTTTCAGCCCAGGCCTCACCCTGTCACTGTGGTCACCACAGTTAAACCACACACCTCCACATCTCTCAGGTGCTTTGGCTCCTGCCTTTCCTCAAGCCCAACTCAATTCTTTGCTGATTTACGGTTGCCCTGTAGTGTGACACAGCAAACCTGGTAATTTCCTACAATAAAGCAGTCAACTTTGGTTTATTCTGGTGTCACTTTTTTGCCAGCTCAGTAAAGATTAGGAACACAGAACTATACTTTTATAAGGATTCAGGGTGCAGGAATACAAGAAGTCATAGGCATGTCAGGAGCTAGGTGTTAGGAAATTGTAGATGCAGCAGATGGATTAAAAGTTTCTGTCAATTTAAGAGCCTTGAACTTGTGTTTTTGTTCTAAAGCATTATTTTTTTTTTCTGCTGGCTTGTGTGCAATGCTAGAAATACTTCTGTTCTTTAACCTAGATTTGCAAAATCTGGTGTGCTTCCGCATTAAACTTGCAGACTCACTTCCTTGGATTCAAGCACAAGAAGGTAAGACCAGTTCTTCAGTGCACCTTATGTTAGATTTTCTTGATTTACTTAACAGTAGAATATGGCTTTGAAATCTTTCTCTTTTTTTTTTTTTTTTTGGTACATTAATAACATCAGAAAAGGTGTATAAAAATTTGTGCTTTGTATTGTGGATTAGTGAACAGAATACATCAGAATGTTGGAGAATGTAGGACTGTTAATAAGTCCAGAATGGAAATATTTAAATAATGTACTTATTTTTGCCTAGTTATCCTTTTTTGAGTGTAATATAATTTTCTGGAGGTAATCTAGAGTATTACTGTTAATCTAACTTCTTTTATTAACAATGAAACTTCAACATTGCTATTTTTTGAATCACAAGTGACTTTTTCCTTCATTGGTGATTGATGACTTAGGTTGAAGAAGCCCTGAAAGCTCATGGCATTGGTAAGTGCAAGATTTTTTACTTCCTATTTTATTTATAGATGCTCCTTTCAGCCTGCCTCAATTTAGAGGAAAAAAAGACTTTCTTGAGATTTGTGCTCTAAGACCTATCTTGTGTTCTTTAGTGATGTAACTGTATAATCCTACAGAAAAAAAAAATAATAATAATACAAGAAAAGTTTATTAAGATTAATTGGCTGCAATACTGATGATCACCTACATTAACTTTTGAGAAATGTCAGAGAATTTGAGACCTTCAAGATTTAAAATACATTTGAAAAAAAGCATGCTTCCCAAACCATATACCTACTCAATGCACACTTTTTATTTGGTTTATGAAAGAGCTTATTAACCCCTCAGTACTTTGTCCATTCCTGGGGCCCCCAACGCTAAAAGGACATGGAGTTGTTGGAGCAGGTCCAGAGGAAGGCCATGAAGATGATGAGAAGGCTGGAGCACCTATCCTACGAGGACAGGCTGGGAGAGCTGGGATCCTAAAGGGGCCTACAGGAAAGCTGGGGAGAGACTTCTTATAAGGGCAGGTAGTGACAGGACAAGGGGAAATGGCTTCAAACCGGAAGAAGGCAGATTTAGATTAGATATCAAGATGAAGTTCTTTACTGTGAGGGTGGTGAGACACTGGAACTGGTTGCCCAGCTAGGTTGTGGATGCCCCCTCCCTGGAAGCATGGAAGGCCAGGCTGGATGGGGCTTTGAGCAACCTGGTCTAGAGGGAGGTGTCCCTGCCTATAGCAGGGGGTTGGAACTACGTGATCTTAAAGGTCCCTCCCAACTCAAACCATTCTATGATTTTATGATCTTAATAATTAGCTGAAGCAAAGGACTTTAATAGGTTTAATTTATCATTAAAGCTTTTCCAGTTTTTTATGCACTGCTCTAGTTCCACTAGGAATGAGGACATAGCTATAGCTGTTCTGCTACTCCGTGATGCACCAAAATATATTTACAGCTTTGTACAGTGCACAACTCATATTATGAGTTTGTTGTTTACTGTAGTTTTCTAAAGGTTCTGCAGCTCCAACACTATAAGATGCCATATGCAGACAGAAAAAATAGCTGGGGAGAAGATAGCTGCAGAGCTTTTAGAAAAGGTAGGAAGGCTATGGGCTGAATCAGGTACACTGGGAGGCAAGAGGTTTAAGTGTCTCAAGTTCAGTGGATTTAAACTAAACTGCTGTGATGTATTAGATTAAGAAGACCTGAAATTTATGAATGGAAGCTTTGTTAATTATAGAATAAGAGAGATTTGCATTGCAGAGAATCAGTCGGACTTCTCCCTTGTTGCAGATTGCCTTCTATGTATATTAAATTACAGCCAAAATTACTTACAATTCAAGCCACTCTTTAAGAATTTAATTTTATGGTATGTGCTTATCCCCGTGCTGTGAGATACCTAGTGATTGAGTTGGTCTTCCTCTGCCTGCTTCATTGTGTTAATAAAGACATATGCGGTTGTTTGGTATAAATGTGTATTGTCTTTTTTTTTTTTTTTGCTGAAAACATCACATTGTAATTTTCACTTGTGGGTTTTTTAGTTTAGTTTTGGTTTGTGTTTTAGTTAAAACTGCAAATGGCACAGGGGACCGAGTGAAAGTACCTGTAAAACTTCCTGGTTACGGTAAGAATGCTTAATGCCCTTCCCTATACCTATCACCACCCCATTACAAAAAAACAAAAAAAAAAAAGAAATAGGCAAAAGAAAATGTTTTGAGGTACAGCTGTCTGAACCACATAAAATCATTTGGAGTTCATTTTTATCAATTTTATTTCTGATCTGCAGAACATTTTATAATAACACCTAGAACAATGCTTGCAAGCTTGACATTATAGAAAGTGCAAATTGGACTTTAGGGGTTATGTTACTCGATAGCTGACTTGATTCGTGATGTAGGGCCCATTACAAGCAGGAATTCACTTACGTGTGAATTACTTAGCAGGTGTTCTCTGGGCCAGAGGTTGGAGTGAGGACTTCACTTCATTTTGGAGTTTTGTGTCATGACTTGAGACTGTGAAGACTGACTGGTGGGTTTGTAATGTGAGATTACATGAAAGCAATTTTATCTTACAGTGCAAGCTAAGCCAGAAAGGTATCATGGACAGACCTTGGAAGAACAGCTTAATACGTGTAAAGATTCAGAACCTGCACTTGGTGAGAGTTTTTAATAGTGTAATTGCTTGCTTGTGTGATGTTTATCTTTGAAGAATATTGAGCAATTTTTTAAAATGTAAGTCTTTATTATACATTATCTAGTTCTTGTGTGTGTACGTTGAGATAAAGTGGTGTGGTATGAGAGAAACTCATCTTAGTGGCAGCAGTATTGGATTTAACATAGAATGTTTTTGTGGTCTAGAAACAACCTAAGTTGGTATGGTAGTAACACTCATTTAAGTCAAAGTTTTTCTTTTTTTTTCTGATGTACTGGCTCATCCTGAGGAGGAAAGGGAGAATGGAATGGACAGGAAAAATAACTACAGGGGCATATATTAAAATGTACAGAGAAATAGATTCCTTTCTGAGTGCTTTTTTTTTTTTTTTTTTTTTTTTTTTTTTTTTTTTTTTTTTTTTTTAATGTTGCTATTAATTTTTAAGTATTTTTTTTTCATTGTGTCAAGTTCTATGTGGTAAACATAAGGCATCTTAAAGACATTTTATATCTTTGATGTTGAAAAAGTCTAGAAGACAAGGCAGCCAAAAAATAGAATAACTTGTAGTTTTGAAAATCTTAATTCATGTGTTTGACATGCAGTATTGATAGTTTCTTTTAGTATCTCTTTTGTAGCTAGCACTGATTATTTGCTTCTTAAGTTCCAAAATATAGAACACATTGTTTCAACAAACATCAAAATTCCAAACTTTCTTTCTTTTTTTTTTTTTTAATAAATCAATGCAGGACTTAATTATATAATTGAATATCGATCAAAAGATAATTTTCCTTTTCTCTATGAGTGTCAACTGTGCCACTGTAAAACAGGACTGAGCAACATGTTCATGCATGTTTGTGGCTCCAAGCACAGACTGGCATACCTGGTAAGATTTTACTTTAAAATACTTCTGTTTTGTTGTTGTAGATTTTGTTTTGTTTAACTAGAGAAATTGGAAATTGTATCTTTTAATTAAAAAAAGCATGTTTTTAGGCTGTTATGTTCTTACAAAAGCTTTTATGTATTTATGCTGTAAGCATGCAAATTGGTTTATGTTCTAAAAAATAGATTTAGAATTCACCTCAACGATAGTATGTATGCCTGGGAGTTGCTGACACTGAGTTGTCTGCTTATTTTATTTTGTTTGGCCAGCAACACCATTAACAAAACCCATCATGTAATTGACTACAAGTAGATTTTTAATTTAAAAAATGTATTATAAAGAACTGGACCAATGAAGAAATTGTTCCATCTTTCAGAAGCTAATGTTATGAGACATATTGCATTGGTTCTGCAATTAACTCAGCTGGATATGCTCAGTGAGATTTGTATTGATGGTTTTCATGCTATTAGCTCTTGTATTTCTTGTTAGCTTTGAACTGTTTCCTTCAGTTCTGAAGCTTACTGCGTCTATGTTATATTCTTAAACATAGTAGTCATGCTTCAGCAAGGATAATGTTTAATTCATGCACCTGGGATAGGTTAGCCTTAGTGGGACAGGCTAGTTCTGAATAAGAACTAGAGGTCCTTGTGGCCAGCCATCTGTAGATGACTAAGTAGTGTACCTTGGCATCAATATCCATTGATGATGGATATTGGCAACAGTGAACTCAGTGTTGCTAACAAGGGCATAGCCAGTAGATCAAGGGAAGTGATTATTTCCCTTTTCTTGTTATCTCTTAGGCTGTATCTAGAATACTGTGTCCAGTTTTGTGCTCCTGCAAACAAGAAAGTCACTGATGAGGTTGAGTAAGTCCAGTGGAGAGCTGCCAAGATGAGAAGTACTCCTCCTTTGAGGAGAAGCTGAGGTAGTTGGATTTGTTCTGATTAGAGAAGAAAAAGTTACAGGAGAATCTGGTCCTTCAGTACCTCATGGGAGGTTGTTAATAAGACAGAATAAAGCCCTTTGTGGAGATGCTTGGCAGGAATGTGAATTCAAGCAGGGAAATTTCCTGGCTGACATAAGGTTTTCACTACGAGGACAGTCAAACATATTGGAGCAGATAGACCAGAAAAATCATGGAATCTCTGTCTCCAGTGCTTTTTAAGACCAAATGGACAAAGCCCTGTGCAACCAGTTCAGATTTGAGTGTTGAGCCTGCTTTGAGCAGATTTGGCCTTGGTCCTCTTCATTTTCTGCAATTATGTACCTAAACATTTTAATACCTTCTGTTTTGTATACATACAAATTGATTTTTCTCCCATGAGCATTAGCTGTTGCAAAGCTTGAAAAAGTTGCATGGGATAAAGTGTGACTTCATGATTTCCATTTCCTTATTTATCTAGAAACAACATTATCCTGAGATAGCAGAATCTGATGAAGTTAAGGGAAAAGGCTCTGAACTGAACAGAAAAGTTAGGCAAGTTGCATTAACAATTGAGAAGAAAGAAGGAAGAAAACAATTAAAGGTACATTTCTTCAAGAATTTCAGAATGTATACAATAATAAATAAACTGAAAATTATTTCTTTTATAGTGGGTGGATATGCTTGGCATGGTAGGAAAACTTTTTAAAATTCTTTTTAACCTTTATTAGAAGTATATTTATCTTCTTAATATTACTGAGAGTACTGAGAGTATCCTGGATGAAACTTTCTTATGGTCATTCTCATCATAAGTATTTCTCTTGTTTGAAATAATACTTGAGCTACCTGAGCCTACAGAAACACAGTTGTGTGGAGCACAACATCCAGAATATCTATATTGATATGTAATCAATTCCCAATTGCATGTGCAAAATAACTTGTTTCATTGTTGCCAGGAAACTGTTTTTTATATTTTCCCAAATGAGTTTCTGCTTTGTTAGCATCCTGTGGCAGTTGACAAAAGAATCAGATAAAAAAAAAAAGTGAGTAAGGAGTGGAAGTTTGCAGGTAGTTTTGAGGTTCTCAGCAATGGCCTGGCATCATAGGAGCACCATGAGTGTAAATTGTTGTGAGGCAGTCCTGTTAGAATCACGTTCTTATGAAGATGTCTTCATATTGCTTTCAGTTGTTGTTTATACCACAATAACGCTTAAAAGACAACTTGATTCAGATACTTATCAGTCTTTATGCTATGCCTTAAATTCATACTGATTTCAGTGTCTGTCAACACCATGCTTGTTAAGCAGTGCTTCTTGGCAAGAGCTAATAATACTATTAAGTATTGTCTTTGTACAGGACCAAAATCTTAAATGTTAAATTATGCAAGGTCTGGCTTCTGGCAAAGTTGTAGGTTCTTACATACGGAATTTGTTTGCACACAGGATGTTATTGTTTGCAAGCAAACCAACATAATGTGATTAATACTTCTCCGGCATGATCATGGAAATAATATACATGTATATGTTTATTTTCAGATTTTTCTTGATGGATATAGAATTATATATAATACAGATATGCTGTAGATTGTCTATGAAAAAAAACCACATCAGAAACAGAACAGTTGAATTGCATCCATAACAAGTTCATCATTGGTTTAAGGAACTTTGAAGTGCATAATCTGTTATTAATTTGATATATCTTTCATATTCCAGCTATTTTATATTTTATTTGAATATCTACTCAGGGTTTTACACTGTTGTGTTTAATGTTACTGGTCAAACCAATACAAAGTAAATATTTAATGAAATACATGAGATTTTATCTGCAAAATACCGAACTGGGTCTTATTTGTAATAATTATTTGATAATATCTATATTATTATATATTATTTTAGAACATATTTTATATTATTTTAATTTATAATTTGCAATAATTATTTGTATTTTTAGGTTGTTATAGAAACTCCAGTAATCAGGAAAAGATGGCAAGAATGTAAGTGTGTTCACTGGGATGTAACCCATACATTTCTGACCCGGGTAAACTTGTTTTGTTCTGAAACAGCTTTATTTCAGGGCAGGTCGAAAGGTTTGGTCAGAATGACCTTGTGTGAGTATGTTGTTAGTGTGTTTGTAAGGCCTATTATACTGAAAATTTGTTGGATGAACAGTTTTTTTTTTCTCCATGAGTCACTAGAGAGACATGTTATTTATGTCAGCATTCTCTCTCCTTCTTTCCATTCCCCCCCTCATCCACAATACTAAAAAGTCTTCCTCGTTTTGCAGAAATGTATATACTTTTTTTTTTTTTTTTTTTACAACTGTAGTCTCTGCTGTGCCAGCTACTCAGAGGCTTTCTGGGGAACTGTGCAGAAGGAGCAGGCTGGAGTTCAATGTGTACATTTACCAAGCAGTCCAAAGAGCCAGGTGTAAATCTCTTACCTGTGGAAGAAAGCCTTCAGTTGTACCAGCCATTGGTGCTCAGAAAGCTGTAGGAACACGGCATCTGTGAGACTTCTCCACTCAGTTTAGTCTCCCACAACTTGTTTGTTACCATCTGGGTAGACAGACAGTTCAGCTGTGTGCTGTTCAAGGAAATGGATAGGAATTGTTACAGAACTCTGGTTTTAGGACTTATGTGGAGACTTGGATTAAAACTAATATACTAATCTTAATGCATATTAATATGTAAACTGTGTTGTAAAATATGGAAGTTATGTGGAGATTATTTCTATCATGATCGCAATTAGCAGTAATGTGCTCTAAAGAGGAAAGTTATCCATTTCAAATCTAGAAAGGAGCTTTGAAATAAGTTAAACCCTACTCAAAATCCTTTCAGTTAATGAGTCTAATTTTGCACATAGTGTAGCATTCTACTATGTTTTATAATATTTAGTTCTTTTAAGAAAGAGTTTTGTGCTATAGCCTGGGTATAAAATAGTTAAAACTTTTAGTTAATCTTTTATATGTTGTCACATAATAATGCATACAAACTTATTCATGTTTATAGCTACTAATACACAGAAACAGTGCTAGTTACAGTTCAGGTGAACTTTCAGAACTACTATAAATAATTTCCTTTAACTTCTATCAAGATATTGTCCATCTTGCTACATTTCAAGCATGTTTGTTTAGATCCTAATGCAGATGATAGCCCATCAAAAGCTAAAGTTCAGCATGTGGATGCATCACTTAGTAATGAAGAAGGAATGGACTGTAAAATCAAGGATGGAAAATTGCCAGATCCGATTCAAGGTCAGAGAACAGTGGTTTTGTTTTTTAAACTTGTACCACTGCATGAATTTACTCAGTATGTACTTGTTTATGGTTTTAATAGCAATGCTCTGCTGTAGATGTTGTATTTACACAACGTGTGGGGCTTGGGATCTGGCAGGCAGAAAGAATAATCCTAGTGAAGAAAACTGTCCAGGTTTACTTAAAGTTGCTATAGCTGGTTATGTTAGAACAGAAACAGAATTCATAAGCAGAACTTTTAACTGTTTTTATTTTATTTTTGGAGCAAGGGGCCCAAGTTCTTTTTTGAACATACTGAACATTCTTCAGTGTCAGGGTTAAAACAACAAACAAATTGGAACAAGCTGCAGGCCAGACTGTTTGTTCAGGAATAAGAAGAAAGTAAAATAGATATATATTTTTTGATCATGTAAAATGTCTGAATATGTATTTTTTTGAAAACAACAATCAAATGTTAAAATTAGGGAATGCCATGTAATGGAAGAAGTCCTGCCATGTCAGAAGTTACTGCTTTTAGTAAACTTATGTCAGAGGGGGAAGTGGGCTACCATCTAAATGCATTTTATTTATTCTCATTTAGAATATTTCTGGTCAGAATTATAGACTTGGTTCAGCTATGAAGCACAAGCATTTGATATTTAGGTTCTGGTTTTGATTTTATTTCATTAGATTATTTACACCTCCAGATCTCATAAATATTGCTTTAAAAAAATCCAAGCAAAGAATACTTAAATTAGAATGTTGGAAAACTGTTACTAAAAGCTGTTTTTTATTGTCTTCAGAAGAAAAGAATGTTCAAGAGGAGCAGGAACACTGTCAGAAAGAACAGGCAACGCCAGATGAGAAGGGTGAAACTAACACAGCTGTTGAAAGCACTAAAGGCAACCTCACTGAAGAAGGCAGCAGTTCTGAAAAGTAAAACAAAACCAGATAAATCCATCACCCCTGAAATTGTTAAATTACTTGAAGGGAAATGTTCTAGATGATGACTGCCTACAGTGGATTTGCATAGAGTGTACTGTGAAAAGGAGTGGGTGCTAAAGTAGTAGAATGCATGTCTTCTGAAATTGCGTGCATGGCTATAAGCTCCTCTTATCAACAGAAAATATGTAAATTTACCTCAGATTTGCTCTAGATGTGATTACTTTTTAGCAGTGTTATTCTTAATACACAAACTTTGTTTTATGAATTAAAAAAGAACATTTCCTAGTGATTTAAATATCCCCTCTGTTTCCTAACTTTAAACTAGTTGCATGTCTATCAGCCAAGAAGAGCTGGCACCTTCTGCTTATTTATTGTTACACAGTAAGAGGAAAAATGTCTTTCTGTAGGATTCTCGCCTTGCCCTTGGGCAGACATTAAGGAAAAGGATTAATAACAATTGAATTCAAGTCCATGTTTTTGAATCTTTATATTTATTTGTCTGGTTTTGAAAGGACTGTAGCAGATCTTAATCTGGAGAGTAAATTAGTTTGTAAAAGCATCAGAAATAAGGAATGTAGCAATTGAACAGATTAGCGTGACAGGAAAAGCATTACAACAAAGGCGTGATGATGAAAGGACCAGCACAATAGATAGGTGCTATAAAGGAAGGGAAGAAGATTGCTCACCCATATTAGAAGATTCCAGATTGACAGAAGAAAGCTTCACCAAAGCAAGATCTCCAGAAAGAGATCCTTCCCCAGCAGCAGTAAGCCCTTACATGAGGTCTAAGAGAGGTGCAGCCAGGCTCCACCCCTTCCAGTCACACAGGTGAATTGCCTTCATCTGTGCTCCCAAGGCTGACTGGGTCCTTTCCCCAGGTGCTCAATCAGTGGTTCAGGCTGTGACTCAACAGTTCCCATACAGGGAGCTAATAATATCTCAGACATTCATTTCTAGGTTTCACCAGACACCAATGGGTGTCCTGGGTGATCGTGATCTTGGAAGGCTGTAATTGCAGAACTGTGCAAATAAGGGTTAATAAATTTAAGCCAGATCAGTCTTTGTATGCCTAGTATTTCTATGGCCATACTATAAAATGCTTTTTTTTTTTTTTTGTTTTTATCTTTTTAATGATATCTGCGCCCCCTGAAATGTCTGCAAGGGAATGATAACCTTTCAGAGACATCTTTCAAAGTGTAGTGTGTCAATAATTTAAATGATTATCAATTGCTTGATAGATCAACCATGTGGAGAGTCTGTGTGTGTGCATGTGTTTGTGTGTATTATTTAATATAATAAAAGAAATAGCATCTGTTTTCTATCCAAAGATGTGAGACCAATGTACAACTGCAAGAAGAAAACGAGGAAGTCGAGGTGAATATTTTTTCATTAATGGATTGTTCCAGTTTGCACATAGTTGGGATAATAATATATGGCAATGTTGTTTGCTTTTGCTTATTCAAATTAGTAATATTATTATCAACAACAAATTACCCGTGAGTTACTATGCAAAACTTTAAAAACATTTTTTCAGATTTTGTTGCGAAAGCATATTTTTCTGTACAAGCACACACAATTAAATTAGAGCAAGCATCTAGAATAACCAATAATTATTACTTTTGATTGCAGTTCTAAATAGTGCACCTAATAGATGTTGTTTATGTTAAACAGCAAGCATCTGCAGCAGCTGCTGAAGAATTCACTAGTCAGGAAGAACTGCTGAGTTACCTGGTAAGCATTACATCTTAAGCCTTGCAATATCATTTTTGAAAAATTCACAGAATTGCTGAGTGCTCAAAAATTACTCATTTTGATTAGCAGTTAGTCAACATCAAGATCTTATTTAGTAGTCGGTTGGTAATTAATAGTACTAAAATATTTGAGAAATGAACAAAGGGAAGAAGCTGTTTTCAGGGGATGAAATGTGGTTTTACTTAGAAAATAAAAATAAATAAATTCCATCTCTTCAGGTTGTAAGATAGTTGGCAGAACAGCTGAGTTCTGTTCAGTTGTCAAAAATGTGTGTTGTTTACACATTCATTTCAGAGTGGTAAGTGGTGGAAATGGTAATTTTGTTAAAAGCATCACAAAGAACTTAATGTATATCTTTAACAGTAGTTACTGTGAGTCAACTGCTGCATGGCAGTTCAAGCAGTATTTATCATGTGTGTATGTATGTGTGTCTGTATATCTATACACGTTTCCCTTTTAACAGCAAAACTGTAAAGATCGTACCTTTCTAGTAGTGCATCTTCTTTCTTAGTGTGATTGTCCTCTGACAACAAGGGGAAAATTGTTGGGATTGTGACTGAAAACTGTTCAGTGTTAGCAATTTACAGTCTTGTTTTCACAGATTGCATTATCTGTTTCTATTGATTTTTGCTTTAATCCTCTTCTGACACAAAAGTTGTCTTACATAGTCGGTAATTTTACAAGTATCTTTTCTGGACTTGTTCTTTATATCATACCATAATTCCCAGTTTTTTCAGTGATTATTCTTACTGCATAGTTTTTAAGTGAGGAAAAATCTGTATGCTCAGCTTTTATCTTTAAAATAATTCAATTTTCTTATTACTTGACAGCTGAAACATCCTTGCCCAAGTCTACTTCTCCTTTTCCTCCTAGTTTTTAACAGGAGACACAAATACTATCAGCAATAAAAACATAATCTAGTCCTTGTTGTGCTGTCACATATGAATTTGTGCAAGTTACATGTGATTATTTTTTAATTTTGTTTGGAGTACTTAAAGGTGTTTGCCTTCAATCTGGGTGGAACTGTGCTTACATTGCGCTCAGTGGAACTATTTTCAGAAGAACTTTGTTAGCATAGCCATAAGGATGATGCACGTAGCTGTCTTTGTGAGGGCTGTTAGCACTACAACTTTCTCTCCAAAGAGAGCCCTCTATGTTTCAGCTATTTTATTTTCCCCTTGGGATTCTTTAGAAGAAGGAAAGAGCTAGTATGAGGCAAGGTGGTATGTATCTTCAAGTTCAGAAGTGTTCTGGCTTTACTGCTGCTTTGTGGAGAAACGGGTTATGACTATCTGGCCTCATGGAGGAAATTGTGTATTCACTTAAATGCAAATTGCTCAGGCAGAGATCAAAACCCTTAAGGGAAAGCATTTTCCTGCATTTTTTTCGATGAACATTCTGGGGTTATTTCTTTTCAAATGATTGTCTTGGATAGCTGATGCAATATTCTGTTAAGACCATCTCCTATTTCCCCTCCCACTGTGGTTTCTGGGAAATAGAAAGTTTATTTACCTTGTAACTACAGCCATACCTGACAGGAGGATAGAAATATAAAAATAAAATGGTTCTTTCAGGATTTGTTTATATGTTGTGATACTTGTATCTTTCAAAGGAAAACATTTTTATGTTGTGGATTTTTTTTTCTTTTTTTCCAGCAAAGTTTTGAGATACTGAATGAAGATGATGCTGCTTTTATCCTAAAAGTCACACAGACTCTCACAGATGCATTGGTGGATTATCGTCAGCAAGCTGCATCAAAAAAAGTAATGAGGTTTTGGTTCTTCAAATCTATAGGTTCATGTGATGAGGGATTTTTGTTATTACAGATAATTTACTTAAAGTTATCATGGCAGATGTACTGAAAATTTTGGCTATTTTATGCTTGAAGAATTTTTTAAGTCATGACAGGAAAGACTTGCAGCTTTTCAGTTGAGTAGTCTCAATGCTCTGTCTTCAAAGGTGCTTTTAAAATTAAATTTAATACTTTTTCAAGAAGCCAAAATGCATTTTAGCCCATATTTCCCATGCTTTTCCTTGCATCTAAGTTTTTCTTCTAATTTACCCCCTTTTTTAATCCCAACCATTGGTTTTCTCATCTCTTCTGACCTCCCTGATAGTCTTGTTCTGTATTTCCTTTCCCAGCCTTGCCCTGCACTTCGTTCACTAATGTGTAATCTAACATTATTGACACCAGTTTTCTTTCTTATACAATTTTTCATTTGCTCCTACTCTTAGGCTGTTCCTTTTGAGGTCTCTTTCTTGCTCTATTATCAGAAACCAGTCCCTCCTGCTCTTCTGTTCTTGCTTTTGACTGACTTGTCTTTCCGTAAGCGCAGTATGAAGGTGTCTTGAATTCTTCTGAGTCTGTTGTGGTAATCATTTGTATCCCATGTTTCTCCCATTCATACTACGTGATATCGTAACATTCAGACTCCACACTGACATCCAAGAGGGATGGTAGGAACTTTCCTCTTGTTGGTAATCCATTTAACATATTTGTCATCAGAAACCATGCCCTTTTTGCCTTTTGCCTTTTCTAATAGAATTTCAGAGTCAAACAAAATTTTCCTTTGCCACAGCAGCTACTCCTTGTACTCCAGCTACATAACTACTTCTTTATTTAAAAAGGAGAGGCTAAGTGGAAAATGCCACATAAGTATCAACCAAACAAGTTGTAGGGAATCAGAGAGCATATGATTCAAAAAAAAGTGTGTGGCAGTTGTCATCAAAAGCTTTAATTAGTTCAGAATGTTATTGCAATGTTTCTTTCCTTGTGATATTCTATCTTGACTGCTTTCTTTCTGCCTCAGAAAGGCAGTACTTCTCCAAGATAAATTTCATGACTATAATTCTCATTGTTTACTCCTTTTAACTTCCTTAATAAATTTACGTTCTTTCATAGAAGATTTTTATGTTCATATTTAAAGAGGGCAAAATCTGATATGCTTCAAAACAATCAAGTTCTAACTGAAGTAACTTCTAGCCCAATAGCTATAGGAAAATAAAATAAACTGACCTGAGAAGACACTTCCATATCCTGAACTTCTTTCATCAGACATTTATTTATTTATTCATTTTAAATCCTTGGAGTTCAAAATACTTGCTTTTTTAATCTGGCAGGCTGAGAATTAGGTTCCATAAGCAACAATTGGCCTAAAATAGTGTTTTTTAGATATAGACAGATGCCATAATGTGTGGATAGGAGTTCAATGCCAGCTATATTATTTTCAAATAGCTTTTTGTTTTTCAAATTTGTAATATCTCATCTGTTTTTGTGGTCACTAAAGCGTAGCATTTTTTCATTTTAGGGTTTTATTTTGATGAAGTGCTGAACACAACTTTTTTCAAACTTGTAGGACCTCTTAGATAATGAATGTAATGGAGAAGAAGCATTGGAACATTCTGTGGAACAATCTGAGCTGACTTCGGCAGATATTAGTGATTCTGATACTGGTAACGTTAGCATAACACTCTCAAATTGCTTTAATCTAAATATTGGAACAGTAGTTAAGATTAAATTCCAGAAAGCTGCTTTTATTTTTCTGCTTCTCTAAAAGTAGAGCTTAAAAGCAGAATAAAGCCAAGTAATTTAGATTAATAGGTTTGGGTTTGTTTCATCCTCTACAGAAAAGGCAGCCTATTAATAAACATTCATCTTACTCTAACTGTGTAATCAGTTCTTATTTTCCTGAAAGCAGCTCTTTCTAAAGAGGCTTTCAAAGTATAGCTCTTTTGTTTTGTTTTATCTTTTTGGCACATCTTTTTCTGGTTTTGGTGGAGGCTTAATGCAGATCTAGTCCAAGCAAGATGGTAGCATAAACAAAGTTATGGAAAGTTTTGTTTAACATTTGCATATTTCCACTGCCTGACTTCAGTGCTTCTGATGAGTCTTAAAAAAATCTTGGATTTCTGTGAGAGGATTTCCTTCTCAATATAAACAAATTATTACTTTTCACATAAGATGATTGGAATTACTGTCCTAAATTTGGAGATAAATATGGCCAGAGTACTAGTGTATCTATTTCGCATCATTTTTTTTCTATACAGTGTCAGTTTTCTTTTCTGTAAATTTGAACTTTTGAGACCTCAGTTAATACAGTGCTAATAACAAAAATTGCAATTACTTGCAATATGAAAGAATTTGAACTCTTAGTTGCTTTTTGTGAGTGATAATACAAGGGGTTTTCACCCACCTGCCACCTGTGTTCCTTCAGGATTTTCTGTAAATAGAAATCATTCCTGACTTGTCAGTTGTGTGAAAATGTTATTAATGAAGTTGGATGTGGGCCTTACTAATGATGATGATGCTGTGCTAGACTGGAAATGTTTGCTTTGAAAGACCCTATTTGGATAACTAAGTAATGAATAGCCTTCAGAATCCTCGCTAGCTGAAAAACGGTATTTCTTTTCTTTAAGACAATTCAAGCAGCCGATCGGCTAAAAAGTCCTTATCAATAAATGAGGAAGATGAACTGCAAAACTTCTCAACTGGCTCTTTGGACACAGCGTATGAGAACAACATCACTACTGAATTTTTGAACAGTGTGAGAAATATGAATGTTGAGGAAGTTACTGCTACTCTACACAAAATAGCGGCTACAAATCCAGCTTTCAGAGGTATTTCACGTATACTTGAAGACACAAACGTGTGTGAAAATGTATATAACAATTTTAGCTCTGTGAAACGTTAATAATTATATGGGGAAGGAACTTTGAGATACTGGGGGGACTTTTTCCCTTTTAATTTTTACAGGAGCCAGTTTAGGACGCCTCTACACATAGATGTTAAACACAAACTAATTGTTTTTTCATTCATGCATAGTAACATCTGCAGGGTAAAAAATAGTAAAATAAAATCAAGCGTACTGTTATTAGGTAAAAAAATGAATCTCATCTATGTGGTAACTGGTAAATCAATGTAGGTGTTTTGGGACAGTTTCTTAAGTGACAGAAGGGGGAGGGGAAAAGGAACAACATTCCCCAACTCATCTCCACCCATTTTTATTACTGAGCATGATGTTGGATGATGTGGAATATCACTTTGGCAAGGTGGGGGGAAGCTGTCCTGGCTGTGTCCATTCTCAGTCTCTTGCCCACCCTCAGCCTACTTGGTGGGAGGGTAGTGAGTGGAGAGAAAATGGGAGAGCCTTGAGGCTTGTGAAAGCTGTCTTTAGCAAGAGCAATTACACTGCTGTATTATCAACATTGTTTTAGCCACAAATCCAAAACACAGCACCACATGGGCTGCTGAGAAAGTTAACTCTGTTTTGTGCAGAGGCAGTACAGGTTTCTAGGAGGACTTTGAAAATACCACCTTCTGTTGGAGAGGTGAATAGAGACTATTTAGAAAAGCAGGGTGAAATTTAGTGAACATGTGGATAAATTTGATCTTCTCAGGGTGATGGTGTTAGAGATAAAGAAGAAAATTCTTCCATATAGACTTCCTGCAGATGTTTGAAATGGGACAGCAAAGCAGTCAGATAAGGTTATCCAGTTCATATAGTCAGTTTGGAATTCCAGGAAGCTTTTCATAGATACTTTTGGTAGATCAGAGGCTTCAAAGAGAACTAAGTGGCTGTGGGAAAAGAAGGAAGTGTTTGTGTTGTTTAAAAAATAAACAGATAGCAAATGAGGAGGTCCGAGTAGAACTGTGATCCTGTGCTTAATGTCTTTGCTGTTTATGTGACCTGGAAAAAGGGATGAGTATCTGGATGACAAAATTTTGTGATTACAACATTATTCAGAGCATTTAAAGTGTTGGTTGAATGAAGAACTTAAAATACTCCTCATTAGAGGAGTGGGAATAACAACTTACTAGTCAGAAGAACAAACTGAGTACAAAGAATTAAGGAAAGAATGAAAAGTAGGATGAGAGTCATTATTTTGTTGTTGTATATATCTGGAATAGAACACGCAGTTCTATTTCCCTTATATCAAGACATGATATAAGGATATAAGGATATATAGAGCTGCAAAGGTTTAGAGAAGGCAGCAAGATATGGGAACATTTTCTAAAAAAGAAACAGTAGAAAACTAGAACTGCTTTTGACCTGGAAAAGAGATGACTGAAGTTATAAGTGATCTGTAAAATCATGAGTGGGTGGAAACAGCAATTATGGATCAAAAGACATAGGAAATAACAGATTTCTAAACTTAGAGTATAGAGAGAACCCGATTTCAACGTGGTCTTCATGCAGTAGGTGGATGATCTATGGATGCTCTGATTATTAAAATATCACCTGAGTCAGACAGTGTGAAATCCACCAAGCAATACTGAAAAGTCTGCCATAACAGACTTGGAAAGTTACCTGCTCTAAAGAAGAACTGAGGCTGGGAGAATGTAATTTTCTCACAACCCACCAGACTTCAGACATACTTGCCGTGTTCTTATTCTTCCCTTAGCGTTTGGTTATGGTCACTGAGTGATCGTTACCACTTGAGCTGTCCTTGTGTTTCTTATACTACTTTCCTCCCTCCCCCAAAGTAATGGCCATCACTTTCATCAGAGCAATATAAACTTCTTGCTTGTGCTCTGGAGAGACCACTGACTTACTGGTACAGTGATAAAACAGAGCACTTATGGTAATGCCTTCCTAATTATCAACCGTAGAGTCAGTGATGGGACAAGGGGAAATGGTTTTAAATTGGAAGAGGGTGGATTTAGATTAGATATTAGGAAGAAATTCTTTACTGTGATGGTGGTGAGAACAGGTTGCCCAGCTAGGTTGTGGATGCCCCCTCCCTGGAAGCATGGAAGGCCAGGCTGGATGGGGTTTTGAGCAACCTGGTCTAGAGGGAGGTGTCCCTGCCTATAGCAGGGGGTTGGAAATAGGTGATCTTAATAGTCCCTTCCAACCCAAATCGTTCTGTGATTCTGTTATCTTTGAAAGTCAGTAACAGACTAGAGGAAAATAGATATACCCTTAACTGAAACAGTGCAGCTGTTCATAAGTATATGGTTTACAGCTTCTAGGCAATTGTGTAGTGTATTTTGGTTAGTAACAGTGTATTTTTCACTTAATAAGAGCTCCAAACTCATGTCATCAGTCTAAATGTTTCACTATAACTTGTGCTTTTAAATGTTGTGTTATCAAAGCATTTAGTTTCTTTTTTTCTTTTTTTTTTCTTTACCTTTAACAAAGGAATGGATATTCCAAATGTTGTAAAGATCCTGACTGAAAGTGGGACTCTGAGAAGACCGAGCAATGGCAGCACACACTGACGTGGCAGTTAGCAAAGTTAATATTGCAGTGTTTACTTTCTGTAAGTTTTAAATCATTCTTTTGCTTAATATGAACTCAGTGTAGCTGATTGTGCTATATCCAAATACTGCATGATATTCTTCTAATTAATAATTTCGTTTTGAAATTCTTACTATTCTGTATGGAACAATTAAATTTAATATTGTTTCTTTTTCCATTGGCCTCTATTTTTAAATGAGTAGCCATTATTTTCCTAAATATCTTTACACACTGTATATTAGCAGTCTGATCTTTTCTTATTGATTTTTATGGCTCTTTGTAAGAGTTAATTACAGAACTGTAGCGGTTGGAAGGGACCTCTGGAGATCATTTAGTCTAACCCCCTACTAAAGCAAGTTCCCTACAGTAGGTTTCAAGGAAGTCATGCAGATGGGTCTTGAATATCTCCTGAGAAAAAGACTCCACAACCTCTCCAGTGTTTTGTCACCCTCATGTTTGTTTGGAATTCTCTGTGTTTCAGTTTGTGCCCGTTGCCCCTTGTTCTTTTTCTGGGCACCACTGAAAGGAGCCTGGCCCTGCCCACTTGACTCCTGTCCTTTGGATATTTGTAAGTGTTGAGAAGCTCCCCCCTCAGTTTTTTCTTCTCCAGGCTAAACAATTCCAGGTCTCTCAGCCTTTCCCGTAAGGGAAATCCTCCAGGTCCTCATCACTTCTGTGTCCCTCCACTGGACTCTCTCCAGAAGATAGTTTCTTGAACTGGAAAGCCCAGAACTGGGCACAGTACCCCAGATGTGGCCTCACCAGGGCAGAGCAGAGGGGAGGAGAACCTCCTTGATTTGCTCAACGTGCTCTTTTTCATGCACCTCAGGATCCCATTGGCCTCCTTGACCACAAGAACATACTGCTTGGCTCATGGCCAGCTTGCAGTCCAGTAGGATACCCAGCTCCTCTGTAGAGCTCCTCTCCAGCAGGTCACTCCCTAACCTGTACTGATGTGTGTGGTTATTCCTTCTCAGGTGTAGGAATCTGCACTTGCCCGTGTTGAACCTCATCAGGTTCCTCTGTGCCCAACTCTTCAGCCTGTCCAGGTCTCACTGAATGGCAGCACAGCATTCTGACGTGTCAGTCACTCCTCCCAGCTTTATATGATCAGCCATTTTGCTGAGTGTGCATTCCGTCCCTTTATCTAGGTTATTGATGAGGATGTTGAGCAAGACTGGACATGGTACTGATTCTTGGAGAGCACCACTAGCTGTAGGCCTCCAGCTAGACCCTACATCACTGATCACAATCCTCTGAGCTCTGCCAGTCAGCCCCACTGTCTGTTTGTCTGTTCCACCCTTCCTAAGCTTACCTATGAGGATGTTGGATACAGTATCAAAAACCTTGCTGAAGTTAAAATGCACTACATCCACTGCTCTCCCCCATCTGCCCAGCTGGTCATGACATCATAGAAAGGTACCAGATTGGTCAAACATGAATCCATGTTGTCTTCTAATAACTTTGTCTTCCACTACAGCAGTCAGCAGTACAAATGCATCCTATAGCAAACAGTCAAATTATCCCCTGTGGCTGCAGGGCCATACTGAAAGGCTATTGAAATTAGGGGTATCTTCCCATATAAAGATTATGAATTGGTCTCCTGTTTTTTCAATAAAGATTAAAAATTGCAACAAATCAGTGCTGTCAGTTCAGTTCTGAGTTAAGTGCATGGATTATAGGTAACTTTTGGAGAGTAGTTAACTGGAAGTGTTAGCAAACTCAGCAGAGGTTGACTTGCTTGCAAATTCAGGGATATATTTCAAGAGAGGTAACCAGACTATACTTAAGAAACACTGACTTGTTAGTGAAAGAATCTTTTATCTTCTCTTATTTTAGTGTGAAGTGAAAGCTGGCTTCTACTGTCCTTCAATTCATGCTCTTTTATAGTGAGTTTTTTTGCTTTTTTTTTTTAATCTATAGTTATAGTGTTTTCGACTGTATATAGACAGAGATTCTGTATGTTAGCTGCTATTAATTTTGTAGGATGATAGAAAAATATTTTAGATGGTTACAGACTTATGTTTGGGGAAAAGAATTTAAAAAAATTAAATTGAGTGGGTCAAATTTGCTTCCTGAGGAGCATTCAGTGCTTCTAATTAAAGTCCTTCAGCATTACAGTCAAAAGCTGGTATGATATCAATATCATATTTGTATCATACCAGCTTTTGACTGTAATGCTGAAGGATTTTAATTAATTAATCATGGTGGAGCCAGATTGCAAACAGACCTTTTAATGTTAACTTACAGTTTTTGGACATCTGGATGAAATTGAGAATCCTCATCTTTGTGTTTTCACATCTTTGCATCCTGGAATGCAAGATGCTATGAAAAATAAGGTAACAAAGAAAGCAGCAGTTAAGGTGTATGGTTAGTTAGGAATGAAAACAGTTCATTGACAGTTAAAGAAAACAGGAAACAATTACTGCTTTAAAGTAATAATGAAAAATCTCTGGAATGCCTTTAAGTATGTTCACATCAGAAACAGAGGTAGAACTGTAGCTCTTGTTTTCACTATAATAGGAACGGTGTTCATGTCTACTTGATAAAGATGTGCTTGATCAGTAAAAGCATCTTAGAGTTTACATGGAATACAAATAATTTCCTGAAGTATCTGCAATAATAGCAGCTTCATGTTTTTGTTTTCATAGTGCAGAACATTCTATTAATTAAAATAATAGACTATTCAGCTGTTATAAATGGCCATCTCTGGAACAGCTTCTTTTTTCACTTGCTGTGAAATCCTTTCTAGTGGAAATAAAATCAAGGGGAAATTACTTGGATTTCAGCATTTCTTTTTCCTCAGGTCCATTAAGCACATGCTGAAAATGGAAAGACTTCTGAATCTATAGCACACTGATTCAGAGTGGTTTGAATGATGTGCTGCAGAGTGCCAGTGTACTTCTCAAAGACAAAACAGCAAATGCAAAAATGACAAAGTGTATGCTTCTGGAAATGTTTTTGGAAAAAATGTCTAACCTAGCATGTTCAGTTGTACAATTAATCTCCCTTTAAAGCTTTCTTTTCTGGTGCAAATAGAGCTGTAAAAGAGCTAGATTATTTTGTTTGTTCTGTCTGCCTTTGTTTTGAGATGGCTTGGTATGTTCTCACACTAATAGAAAACTGTATACCTATTCCAAAACAGTTTTTAAGGATAACATCTAACTTGTGTTAGAATTGTGTGGTTTAAAAGAGAAGAAAAAAAAAAAAAGGCACTGTATCAGTGATACTTAAGGAATGTTACTGACTGTCATTGATTGTTACAATACCAGTGAGACACAAGAAAAATTATACCAAGAGGGAATTGATTTTTCTTTTAGCTTTATGTTAGTTCACCATATTTTACTGAGGCATCAGAGAGCTTTGGGGAAATTGTTTTTAACAAAATTGAAGAACTTGAACATCTCTTAGAAGGTATAAAGTGGAAAAGAGAAGGATATTCACAGGTGAACTGACAGGAAATGGAAAGTTTTGACTGTGCAACAGAAAACTTAGTAGGTGTAGCTCTGTTAATGAGCTGTGTTATAGTTCTGGAACTGTTCTGCTCTTATAGAATCATTAAGGTTGGGAAAAAAGTCCAACCTCCAACCCATTCCCATCCCGCCCATGACACTCAGTGCCACACATACACCTCTCTTGAACACCTCTAGGAACGGTGACCACCACCTCCTTGGGCAGTGGTGTTCCAATGCATTACCACTCTTTCTAAGACTAAATGTTGCCTAATATCCAGCCCGAACCTCCCCTGCACAATTTAAAGCCAATGTGTCTCATTCTGTTGCTAGTTTCCTCTTGTTTTTTTTTTTTCCTGTTTCTTCTAGGACTGTCTTTCTCAGTAAAGAGTTGGTTATCCCTTTTGAAGCAGCAGGCCCTGTCTGTGAATTTGATCTAGGTATCAATGTACATAATGCATATAGTATGCCTGAAGGTATGGTACTGTATGTGAAACCTGAAATGCTAATAGTGACTGCCATGTCTTCACTGAAATTATTATTTTAAGTATTTTTCTACTTTGTAAATGCAAATACTGTTTGTTTGTTTGTTTTTGTTTTTGTGAGAGGAAGTGTTACTATCTAAGTTCATTTTAGAAACATAATTAAAAATATTCTCATGGAGCACAATATTGTTAATGTTTCATTGAACATATTCTTTTTAGTATACTTGTTAACACCTACCTTCTGTCACTGCAGGTAGAGTGAAATACAATTGAAAAAGTTTTAAATGACCTCTAGCACTTCCTATAAAGATTCAGAGTACATACTGGCAGGAGGTAAGAGAGACACTCATAACCCAGCATCTCCCTGCTTTGTGTGAAGACTTTGCTTCCCCAAATGGTAAATAGTGAAGGATGGAAGCCAGAATGAGATACAACTCAAAAGCTAGAGTTGCTGAGCTTAAAAAGGTGTGAAAGCGATCCTAGTATGGACTACAGATTTGAAGTCTGAGCCAAGAGAGCTCAGATTCTGGTAATTAAAGTACGTGAGACCTTGTGTGATGAATGCTTCCAGTGCTATTTTACTTGTAGCTGATGTAGGATCAAACTGGGACAGTGTAATGTAATTACTTCAGTGAGCTGATTGAGCTGCATTGAGGTGGGATTGGCTACTGTGGTCAGAGAAGAAGGCAGAGTGGGACCTGCAGGCTGCTTGAAGACTGCTTCAGCAGCTGACTGCAGAATAGATCTATTTCCTGCGTGAAATTACGTGTTGCAAAGTGGAAAATGTGTCTTTGAGAACTTTATGGGGCTGGCATAAGTGAAAACTTACAAGTGTACTCCTGAAGATACATCCTTGTTAAAAAAAAAAAAAAAAAAAAAAAGTGCTACAAAATGCTTATTTCGCAAAAAAGAAAAAAGAAAGTGCTTAAAAGCTAATTGTTAGCAAGAAAGCCAGTAATACAAAGAGCCACACGCAGAACAAAGCAATAACCCCAAAATGAATTATTTTCGCTTGAAGAAACGAGTTGGGCGGACCTCCGTGGCGGCAGGGGGCGCACCTGGGCGGAAGCGAGTGCCGTCCGTTGCCGCGCGCGCTGTCCGCCGCCGTTCACGTGGGCGGCCGTTTCCGGGCAGGCTCTCGGGGGCGGAAGGGGGCTCCGCTGCCGCGTGGTTGGTGAGGGGCCGGGGCGGCGCGCGCGGGGCCCGGCGGCGGCGTCGTGCCCGCGAAGGAGGACGGAGGAGGGGAAGGAGGCGGCGCGGCCCTGCCCGCCCCGCGCCTGCGGCCGCCTTTTGTGTGAACCGCCCCCCTTCCCTACGCGGGAAAGCGGTCGCCGCGAGGAGTGCGTGGCCGCGCTACCCGCGGAGCCGACGGCCGGCTGGAGGGCGGCCCCGCCGCACGGCACGGCGCGCTGCCGCGGCGCGGCCGAAGATGCGCCGGGAGGAGCGAGCGGCTGCCTAGGCGGGCACCGCCTGCGTCGGGCGGCGGGTACGGTACCGGTACCGGCGGCGGGGCGGGGTGGAGGCGCGGCCCTCGCCGCCTCGTGGGGTCCGCGCGGGGCCGCGTTCGGCGGATCGCGGTGTGAGGGAGGCCGGGAAGCGCCCGGAGGCGTCCTGAGCGGGCAGGGCCGGGGCGGGGAGAGCCGCGTGGCTCTCGGCGCTTCGCGTTCGCGTAGAAAGCGGTGGGTGCGCTCGGTTCCGTGCTGCTGCGGGAGGACCGGCAGGTGTACGGCTGGGGCTGCGGCGCTGGGACCCGCCGGCCGGGAGCCTCGCTGACTGAGGAGCTTGGAGCCGGTGCTTGCGGTGTGCGCGGCTGTGCCGAACGTCTCCTTACACCGCTCTGGTGTTCTCGCTGCTCTGGTTTTGTAACCGTTTTTTTCCTGATCTGGCCTCCTGCTCAACAGCTGGAAACAGGCGTGCTGAGGTTTCTAATAAGTTAGCTATTTCTAATATCCGTATTGCAAGGTAAACTACCGCTTCCTTCCGGAAGGAGAGAGTATATTATATAGGCTTTCTCCTTTAAAGTAACTTAATTTTATTCAAGTGTGTGCATGCCTGTATTTATAAAGGTAATGTTAAGTGGAAGGCTGATGCTTCGTCATGTGAGGTGAGACCTTAATGTGTCTTTTAAAGCAAGCATGGCAGTAAGCATTCATAAAATCATTAAGGTTGGAAGAAAACACTAAAATAATGTAGTCCAACTATCAGCCTACTCCCACCATACCCACTGACCACGACCCTCAGTGCCACATCCACACGGTTCCTGAACACCTCTATGGATGGTGACCCCAACACCTCCCTGGCAGCCTGTGCTTCTCTTTCTGAGAAGAAATTCTTCCTAATATCCAACCTGAACCTCCCGTGCCGCAACTTAAGGCCATCACCTCTTTTCCTATCTCTGTTACCTGAGAAAAGAGGTTGATTCCTACCTTGTTAACACCTCCTTTCAGGCAGTAGAGTGAGATTTGGTACTGGAACAGGCTGCCCAGAGAGGTGTGAATGCCCCGTCCCTGGAGGTGTTCAAGGTCAGATTAGATGGGGCCCTGGGCAGCCTGGTCTAGCATTAAGTGGGACGATTGGTGGCCCTGCGTGTGGCAGGGAGGTTAGAGATTCATGATCCTTGAGGTCCCTTCCAACCCTGGCAATTTTGTGATTCTGTGATGAGGTCTCTCATGGGCCTGCTGTTCTCCAGAATGTGCTCCAGACCTCTCACAGCTTTATTGCTTTTCTCTGGACGTGCTCCAGGGCCTCACTGTCTTTCTTGTAGTCAGGGGCTCAAAACTTAAAATACCACTTGAGGTGCAGCCTTGCTAGAGCAGAGTACAGAGTTACCTTCCTGTTCCCGCTGACAGTGAGCTTTCAGCTGTTTCTGCATTCTGCAATAGAGGAGAGAAAG